GCATATTTTAAATTGAAATACTGTTACACAACAGAATTCACCATCTTAATTATATGCAATTCAGTATTTCTTAGAATATTCACAATGTTCTGCAACTATTACCACTAATTATAGAACATGTTCATCATCCAGAAAATGAGTTCCTGTTACCCATTAAGCTACCACACTTCCCATTGCCCCCTTCCCATTACCCCTGGCAACCACTAATCTACTATACTTTCTGTCTCTATGCATTTGAGTGTTTCATACAAATAGAATAAAAAACCATGACTTTCATATCTGGCTTCTTAGCACAATATTTTCAATTTACATACATAGCATAGCATAAAGTAGTGTCATTTCCTTTTATGACCGAGTAATATTCTGTTGTACTGATACGTCACTTTGTTTTTTCCATTCACATGTTGCTTGACATCTGGGTGGTTTCTACCCTTTGGTTATTAATGCTGTTATAAATATTCATGAACAAGTTTCTGTTTGGCATGTATTTCAATTTCTCTTGAGTATGTATGTAAGAGTAGAATTGCCAGGTTCTGTGTTTAATTTTTTGAGTAACTAACAAACTATTTTCCAAAATTGCTTTACCATTTTATAATCCCACTAAGAGAGTATGAGAGCTCCAATTTCTCCACATCCTTCCCAATAGTTGTTATTTCTTTCCCTCATCTTTTTTCAATTATAGCTATCCTGAGTATAAAATAATATCTCATTGTACTTTTGATTTACATTCCCCTATTGACCGATGTTATTGGACATCTTTTCATGTGGTCATGGGTGTAGCTTGTTTTTATTATTCTTTTAGTAATCATTTTTTATGAATCCCTGTTTTATGGCTAGTCCTATGATTTGGGCCCACCTGAGATTACTCACGTTCCAGGAGAGAAGGGAGACTTCATAGCACAGTAGCAAGCAGCACAGTAAGACAGTAGTCTCTAAAGAAAATATGTACGTTTTGTAAATGGGATCTTTGAGGAGGAAAGAGAAGCTGTGTGGAGGCAGAGTTTGTCAAGCAGGCAAGGAAGGAGGAAAGCTTTCAGGTAGATTGAAGAGCAGGAAGCCTGTGATAGAACTGGTGCAGATGAGCTGCTGCCATCCTATGTCATCAGGAGGAGAGCAAAGCACTCGTAACTGTCACCCTCCCAAGTCACACAGTGAGCTAGGACACTAACCCAGAAGCAAGGCTGCCTCACACCTCGAGCCAGCAAGCAGTGCCTACTGAGCTAATGCCCAGTGTTTTTCAGTACAGGAGTCTGTTGTTTCCAAGGCACATTTACTGAACTGATTTGCAGTAAAAGTCATATAAAAAGAGTAAATTAATACATGAAGAGGTAGAAGCCTGCCTAATTCTCACACCTATCAAGTGGCAAAACCAGACCTGGAATCCAGGTTGTCTGGTTCCTGGTTCTTTCCATATAGTTGCAGACTGAACATTAATTTTTCTGAATTCAAGGGTTTTTTTTCCTCTCCAGCCCCAACCACCTCATCTTCCTTTCCTTCCTCACCTCTCCCCTGCCTATAACTAACCATCTTTTATGGTTTAGTCTAAATATCTTTCCAACTTTCCTCTTATGGCTTCTGTTCCTCCCCCTCTTGTGTGGTCTACATTTTACTGTCCTTAAATGGTTATCCTTTTATGTTCACTGACTCTTCAAGTTTAAGTGCCAGCCCTTCAGCTGCACAAGTTCCTAACATATAGAATTGATCATATTCATAACTTTCTGGCAGTGTAAGAATTATTTACTTCAAGTCACAAATGAGAAAATCGCCTCAGAAAACTAATTTACCTCAGATTGTCCCACAAGTAAGGAGTCTAGCTCAACATCTACCTCCTTGCAAAAGCCTTCCAGTAACACTAATTGGAGGGCTTTCTGTTACTCCTGAAACCCCAGGACGGTTTCATATTCAGTTCAGTGTTAGAGATCTTTAGTTATCTTCTTACGGGTTTCTGTCTTGTGTCCCACATCTGGATGCTTATTCATCTGTGTCCCCAGGGCCAGGCCTTGACTTTGCAGAATGTGAATTCTCAGAAAATGTTAAGGTAATGCATAGGAGGAAAAACTCTGCATCTGGGTTACATGAGCTATGTTCTGGTATTCTCATGTTATGACATTGACCTTTATGACCTTGAATAATGGTGAACCTTCTAAGATAGGGACCCTACTTTGCCTTCCTTATCCCTGGGCCTACATGCTACATGGATGAAGGCATAGACCTCACCATTTGGAACTTTACTTTCCTCATCCCCATTTTCAGAGGGTTCAACAAAATGATCTGTGTTTCCTATTTAAATATTACTTTCTTTTATGAGTCCGAATGACTGCTTCTCTGTCCACCAGTTCCACACCAATATGATTCTGAGCCACAAAAGTTTCATCTCAGGGAGACAAAGCACAGCTTGGCATTTCCAGTTTGGTGGTTGTATCTCAAAGCATTGCCCTTGAACTTGTCAAACTGAAGACTAACTCAGAAGCTTTACCCCAAACACTATCAGAAGTCTTAATGTCACCTCTCATCTGGTATCTCTATCTGTCTCTGTCTCTGTCCCTCATTCTCTGTCTCCATCCCCTTCCCATTCCCTTTCAGTTTCCTTGTCCTTCTCCATGTCTGTGTATGAGCACATGTTTACTTCTTGGCAGGATAATATCACTTGAAGTCCTTTCTTTAGGTTTTACATGTTAGCAGCTTTTTGCCTTACAAAAAGTCAACAGTGTTTGTAGGAGAGAAACTATTACTTTTTCGGAAGTATACAAGTCTTCACTGCGGTTCATGCCTAGCCCATTGGGTGTATTTTATAGGCACAAAAAGAACAGGTCATTCTTGTGAAAATAGAGCCTGATGATTACTCCCCTGCCCAGCAGGAAGAGCCATTTCGTCAGCAGCAGATTGTTAACAAACACCATCTTTTCTTTTTTCTGGACATTTCTTTTATACCCCATATCCTACTGAAGTAATTTCTTAGTTTTTTAAGTTAAATCTTTATCTACTGTATGCTGAAAAATAAAATAAAATGCCTCAGGCATTCTGATAATGCCAAGTATAATGTCCTATTCACTGAGTAGCTTGTGTTCCAGGCATAGTTTGGTGAATTGTGTGATTTATTGCTCTCATCCCCACAACTCCTGTTACAGAGGACAGGCTTGATTTCAAAGAGACTAAAGCCTTGCTCATCCATCCTCTGCCTGTCATGGAAGAGATAAGAATCATACTCAGGTCTTTCTGATAGTACTAGAATCCTACCTCTAACTAAGTGGGGCTTCCTTCCTAAAATAATCTGAAATACTTAGCATTTGATTACTTTTAAAAACATTTATTATTTGTAATTCTCATAGTTACTTTTCTCATGGCTGAGACCCCCAAAGTTAAAGAAGGAAAGATTGATTTTGATTCACAGTTTGTAAAGGTTTCAGTCCATGATCTGCTGATTCCAAAGCAGGGAAGCATGGCAGAGGGGCATTGCAGAGGAGAAACTCTTCATGGCAGACATGACAGCCAAAGCAGCAAAAGCAAGCAACAAGCAACAACTTTCTTTCTTTCCCTCACATTACATCCTGACTCTTAGGGTGGCTAAACACGCAATCCCAAAGTGGGGGGGGCACCATTAATCCTCCCCAGAAATATGCCAAACCAATCAGTGGACTAATTTAGTGATCATACAGCCTTGACCCCAGCATCACTAACTCCAGATCCAACCAAAAAGCCCTGCTTATGGCCACATGAGGCTTTTAGGGGACATCTAGACACAGCCACAATAGTAAGCATCTTTCTCTGCTTTACTAACAAGTTATAAGGAGGGAAGCTTTGCTTTGGAGAGGCATAAGAGCATGGTTTACACATGTACATATGTGCATGAACACACACAGATGTACCTTCCTATACATAAAGACCCTGAAGGACTGGACTTAAACAGTGCTTGACCACATGCAATTATCATGCACAGGCCAACATGCTAGAGAATGCATTTAACATACCCTAATGGAGAGCAAAGAAACAATAGTACCCAAAGTCTGCGTTCAATCCCAGAAAACAAACAATTTTATCAAGGGACCACTTTCACAGTGGTTTTCAATTTTAACCTCTGAGCCTGCTGCTTAACTTTTACTTTTGGTATCTCTGATGAGATAGATTTGCGAAGTACAGTTTGAAAGTTGTACAGTAACACAACAAAAACTGTTTTAGATTTTCAGGTTGAGCTTAAGTAATGAGAAAGTGAGGTGCAATACTATCCTTTTGTGTTTGTAATGTACAACAGTTGTAATGTACAACACTTAGTATGTGTTGTGATCACACAGAAGTTCAAGACCTAAGAGGGCTGTTTTTCACTCGTGGCTCTTCTTAGACTCATGCCTTGGATGAGCTTCTCCTCATCCTCTGGATTTGAGTTTCTTCATCTTTGAAATGAGAGTTAGACTAATAGGTCACAAAACTTTGTCATCCTGGGATTTGATTCTGTTAAAAAGGCAATAAATGTTTCTTTTTCTATCTACCTTTCCTCATCCGGCTTGTATCAGGGCTGTTTCTGTGCTCTTCCAAGTTAGGTCTTACCTCCTGAAGAGACATCATTCCTCTCATGCCTGCTGGTACCTGGGCTGGCAGAAACTCAGCAAGCTTTCCTGGGAGAATACTTGTCTTAGAAATATTTTAGTTATTGATGTTCATGTGCCAGTTAAGCTCAAACCGGATGGAAGTCTAGGGCCATCCAGTTCCAAGATCCTAGAATTCCGTAACAGGCTACCCTTTAAGAGATGGGTTTAGAGACACACACCTCCCCCCAGCAGATTGATTGGATGCTATGTCAACACTTTGTGTGCAGTGATTTTAGCAAACACTCTTGATCCTCTGGTTAGAACTGCTTTTAAGATCCCTGCCCACAGGGATGGAACAAGTGTTTTGCTTTTCCTGTTTAACTGGTCTGGCCTCAATTACTTTCTAGAATTTGAAGTTTGGGGGTTTTTGAGCATTTAGACTCATAATCAACCTTGTTCTCTTGATGTACATTTTAGAAGACAAATCTGACCTTGAAAACAGTGTGATGCAGAAGAAAATAAAAATCCCTAAACTTTCTCTCAATCATATAGAAGAAGATGGAGAGATTAAAGATTATGGGGAAGAAGATTTACAGCTTAGACACATCAAGGTAACAAAATGTTCACTTATCTTGGAAACATATGGGGCGGTTTTCGTATTTCCCATAGATAAAGAATTCTAATCTGATCTCCTTCCCCTTGTAATGTACCCTGGTGTCTCAGTGCATGATTTTTTTCTGGATAGAAACAGCTTGGGACAGTGAATGGCTACTTGCCTTGTTGGCCTACTTTCCAGGGAGCCCTGATTCATGCTGTGCGACTAAGCACGGTCCTGTCCGGACAGTCTGTGCAAGATCATCGCTGCTGGGGGTTTGGAACGATGTGTTTGTCCCTGGCCCTCAGCTCTGGAGAGGTCGTGGAGTTCCTGTTAAGCAGCTGTTGGTCTTGAGCAGCAGTTTAAAGCCAGTCACTATTAGATTGCCCCAAAGAGCCAAAGATGGACTCACTGGGGATAGATATTAGTGAGGTTCACAGAGGGCATTTGTGGGTCCCTGGACGGGGTAAAAATTTTGCATGATGATGCTTTCGTTGCTGTGTGCCCAGTTGATCTCCTCTAGCTTAGAGATCTTATTTAGCAAGCTGCTTTGTTTTGTTTTTGTGCAGTTCACATCACAGAGGAAAGGAAAAAAGGGAAAAAAAAATGACTTCCGTATTGATTGTGATCTGATTTGGGACATAACACATGTTCCCGAAGCATAACTCAAAAGAAGCAATTGAGTTCAATTCATGACATTCACCCTTTTTCTATGGGCCTGGTCCAGTGCTGCCTCCCAGGGCCACAGATTAACCAGTCATGGTCCATGTGACCAGGTCTCACAATATAGGATGCAGACCAATGTGAAAGTGTTCAGTATAGAACTGTACTAGAAGTCCTTTATCCCAGAAGGTAAAAGGACATAGAATTTTACCATGTTACTCAATCTCAGGGTTGTGGTTTGGTTTGTTTTCCTTTAAACTCTCCAAATCAAGTGAAAGGCTAAGGCAGGCCTGACCTGGCATATGACATAGTTAAGTTGTCCAGAATCTTCTGTCCGTAGTTATCTGCACCTCCCACTAGTATCCTTAGTCAGTAGAACAGATCTACTGACTAAGTGGAGCATCAAAGGTAGAGAATTAAGTTGATCTGGTCCTGTAATTCCTGGCATTCCTCAGCAGAAGCTTTTTCCTCTGTAGCTGGAATTTTCTCAGGCACTGAGTCCCCGTTCCCTAAGAAACCATGGGCAGTTCTTTCCTAAATGAATGTTTCTTCTCTGCGTCCACTGTCTTGCTGAGGGAGAAGCTAGCAGATGTGGAGGAAGAAGCCTTGGGCTGGAATTTGGATCTTAAATTCTGACCCTGGTCCTGATGCGTAACTCACCAAGAATTCCTATTTCCTCACGTGTAAAATGAGGAAAACTGAAAATTGAGATTACTTCCCAATGCTAGCGTTCTTTGTGGTTTTCGATTGAGTAAATGTTTTGGAGGCCAATGCCAAGTGCCAGTTTTGAGGGGCTTGACAGTGGATACACAGAGAAAATAAGAAACTTTTATCACCTTAGATTAGAGTACATTAAAGTTTTTAACATCTTTCCTAATTAAAGCATTCTTGAAAAACTACATGGTAGAATTCCCTTTTTAAAAAACATTTTTTGTTGTTGAGAAAATTTGAGAGTACTCCTAGGGATGGTTTGGACTGGCCTGCCTTCTCCCTGATTCTCTGTGCATCATATTGGACACCCTCCTTCCACTCCCATGAGCAAGCACTTGCCCAGGCATTGTGTGGGTAGGGGCAGGAGAATTTGAAGGGCCGTCCTACTAAATGCATCTAAGTGGCAGGATGGTGGCATGGGAAACCGGAATCCTGGTTCTGCCATCAGCTGACATGACTTCAGACAAGTTTCTTCCTTACTTTGGATCTTTGTTTTGCCATTTGTAAAATAAAGGGTTGACTGTTTACCACAGGTTTCTCCAAGCACTGATGTTCTGTGGTTCTGTGATTCTAGGATTGTCTGGGGAAGTGTTGAGCTGCAGTCCAAGAAAGTCCCAGCTGCCCTTGCCTGAACTGATTCTCGTTGTCCTACACAGAGACCCGAGGGGCGGAAGCCGAGCGAAGTGGCACACAAGAGCATTGAGGCAGTGGTGGCTCGGCTGGAGAAACAGAACGGCCTGAGCGTGGGCCACAGCACCTGTCCGGAAGAGGTCTTCGTGGAGGCCTCACCGGGCATGGAGGACATGGACAGTCTGGAGGATGCCGTTGTGCCCAGGGCTCTGTATGAGGAACTGCTGCGTAACTACCAGCAGCAACAGGAGGAGATGCGCCACCTCCAGCAGGAGCTGGAGCGGACTCGGAGGCAGCTGGTGCAGCAGGCTAAGAAGCTGAAAGAGTATGGGGCACTCGTGTCTGAAATGAAGGAGCTCCGCGACCTCAATCGGAGGCTCCAGGACGTGCTCCTCCTGCGACTTGGCAGTGGTGAGTGCCCAGCAGTCACATGCCACTCCACATGGGGGCATGTGGCACAACTTCTCTTACAGGAAAACAAGGCCAGAGCAAGGGAGGAGAAGCTGGGGAAAATGTGGTTTAGCACTTGCCCTAAGGAAAAGTCTCTCCCTTCCTTCATGAATCTGGCAGGAACCCTTGGATGCAGCACTGGGCACATTGTGGTGGGAACCCTGAGGAAAGCAGTTAGAGAACAGAGCCTGACAAACTGTTTCTGCTCACTTGGGCATCCATTCAGCAAAAGGAAATATCAAGGGATTGTAGGATCCTTCCCCAAAGATGTGTCAGGATAGTAAAGAGAACCAGGCATGGTGCTAAAAACGTGCATTACTGTAAGCCAGAAAGTGACAGATGCCACAAGAGGATGCTGCTTAGAATGATCTGAGAGTGTGGAGCATGGAGAGGTTATTTGTAGCTGAGACCGTGAGGTACGCTTCAGGAAAGGGCTGGACCTTGAAGTAGGACATGAACAAAGCACTTGAGGAGGCCAAGGGCACTCGTGAGTATGGGAAAAACTCTGGAGCTTCTAACAAGGATACTGCAGTGTGCTTGGTGGGCAGATTCTAGAGGACCTTGAAAATCATACCAGCCTGGGCAGACTGGATTTGTTTGGTAGGAATAGTAGTCATTAAAGAACAGGGAGGCACATACCTGGGAAATTTATTCTAAAGGCATATAAACCTCCTTCTAGGTTTGTTCATTGAACAATTTACTGGGCTTCATTTCACACCTGATTGTAAGTCACCAGGGTCTTAGGTTTTCTTATTTAAAGGTGTGATGGGAAATCTGAAAGGCAGCAGTCTTGACTATGGGGAGGAATGAGTGACTGTTCACTGGAGAGGAAAAAACTGAAGAGCGCCTGCAGAATGTAAGAGTTCACAACTGTGAGGGATAGAAATAGTTAGTACTGAGAGCTCACTGTGACACAAGTTCACAGTCGAGGTGGCCTTCGAGGACAATAATTAACTGAGTCAGGGTGCTTTATTTGAATACCAGAGCCAGCTAGTCCAGAAACAGAGATTCTGTCCTCAAATTTAAATCAAATGTTTCACTCAAGGAGGAAAGTTTTCATTTTCTATGTAATGTATGTACTTGCAAAACTCCAATTCGCTATTTTAGTCTATCTTATTTGTAAAGTTCACAAAGACAAAAGATCCCCAAGATCAAAGGATCATAAGGCAGCCTATAGGCCTTTTATGCCCTTGTCAGAGGAGGAAATTAGGGTGGGACTTCCCAGCCCAGCCAGGGAGGTAAAGAAGGCTCAGCCTCATTTCAGATTCATGGGCTGCTAATTTTCCCATTCCCCCAATTTGAGTTTGCCTTGGCCATTATCCAAAATCATAACTTGTGAAGGTTCATAGTGACACTAAAAGTCACATGTGGTTTTCAACTTCAAAAGTACTTAAAGTTCACTATTAAAATAAAATTTCAAAGACAAACTTTAGATGTAAAGCTTTGTAAAAGCTGTGTTGGTCTTGGCATTGGGGTGAATTATAGGGAAAGAACTGAATTTTTCAGAGAGAAAAAATGCTTCCTGGTCTTCAAGTGAGTAACATGCATTTTCACTGTGCTATTTATTCTATTCCTTTCTTAAACCTCCTGAGAGGGGCCAGGGCAAGCACACTAGAAGCAAAACTTCTCCACACCATTATTTCAGTTCCCCGAGAAACTATCTGTTTCACATGGTCTTGAACTGAGTTTAAACTCCAAAACCCCAGCAATAAGACCTTGCATTTTGGTCAGCCTCTGATCCTTTTCCTCCTGAAACTCCTAGAAAAACTTGTCCCTAACTATAGCTTCAGGCCTTAACTGCCATCATGAGGGCCAGGGGCTGGTTCTCCTCTCATCTGAGTCACTGTTGTCACTGCAGTGGGATGCACTCAGGCTGCAAGGCTGCCTGAAGCTCCTACCTGTGCAGCGCCCTGTGCCCTCAGTGTTGTAGGCACCCTGGAAGTCGCCCTCTCTGGCCCTGATCTGTGAAAATTTCAAGTCTATTGATTAACACATGATGATTCAAGAATAGATAGATGCCACATTCCACAAGGGTCTTAGTAAGAGCGTGGCTTCCCTGAACAAGGAGCTGGTATATTGTTTTGCGAACCAGGAAGGACATAATTCAAATCTCAATTTCAGTGTCTCACAGCTCTGTGACTTTTGGAAAATGTCTTTCCTTTGTTCCTGATTTCCTTTCCTCTTCTCTTTTTTACTTCCACAAATACTTATTGTTCTCCTGCTATGTGTGAGACGTGTGTATGTATGTGGCGAGTGACAGCTAAGTGTATTCTAGACACAGCCTTTGCTCTCTGCCCTCGAAGACTTCGGGGTCTGATGAGGGAGACAGATAATGAAACAATCAGTGACAGCATAGTACATAATCGCTGTCATAGGGGTAGGGTAGTAAGCATAGAGGGCTATGGAACAGTAGAAGAAGGATCCCTGTCAAATTCTAGGTGAGCAGAGAAGAAAGACTTCCTGAAGCAAAGTAGTTCTAAATTCAGCATTGGAGGATGAGTTGTTGTTATCCAGGGAGGGATGGATATATAGGAAGAGAGAGGAGCTATCTAGGCAGAGGGTGCCCACTAATGAGCCTCAGTGTGCTCATGTATAAAATGGGACTGAAGTCATCCTGTCTACAGCCTTGTGGTACATTGCATAGTGTCTGTTACTCAGTTGATGCTCAATGACTCCTGACTCCTTTTCTAGATCATTTAATGAACAAACTAAGGTAGGGTCTGCTTTAGTCTTTGACTCTGACTTCCCCAACCAGAATTGACTATATGACCGAGTAGTTTAACTAACTTCTCTACCTCTCAGGATCTTCTCTCTGACTTATACCAAGACAGGTCTAGGTGATGGAAATACAGAAATGAATGAAACAAGACATACTTCCATTTTTGTTAACCATTCAGAAGATAATGGGTTAGAATAATGTTTTTAAAGCTGGAGGGAGGGGGCCTAGGTGCCAGCCTCAGAGAATTCCAAGGGGATGAGAAGAAGCAGAACAGTAGAGATGTTGGGAAGGGTGGGTAGGGTGAGCCTCATGTGTGAGAACGGAGTAAACTTTAGAGTCTTTCTCAGTTTCTCCTTTTCTCAGGTCCCTGTTCTTGTCAGGCAAAGAGGAAGACTCAGGTCCTGCTCAGTTTGTTTTTTGTTTGTTTGTTTGAAGCTGTTATTGTTATTTTCTTGGTTTTTTAGACAGGATATAACTATATAGTTCAGGCTGGTCTTGAACTCAATACATAGCCCAGACTGCCCTCAGACTCATGACACTCCTGCCTCAAACTCCTGAGTTCTGGGAGCCTCAAACTCCTGAGTGCTGGGATTATAGGTGTGCGCCACCACACCCCCGCACCTCATCAGTTTCTAACAATGTAAGTACCACTTGGTTAGTGCAATTCAGATGTAAATCAGCTAACATTAGTTCAAGTAAGACTCTAAAGAGCTCTGTGAGAATTATAAAGCATTTTAGACATAACCTTGACTTTACACAGATCTAATGGGGTCACACACTGATATCCACACACCCATGACACCAAGCAGAAGAGAATCAGCACTGGAATTGCAGGAAGAAGGCAAATGATGGTTTTAAATGTTATGTGTACTTTAAAAGAAATGCAAGCAGAACTGATTAATTCTGATCAGAAGTGGCATAGGTAATAAGAATAACAGTAATTTACATGTGTTTGACATCTTACAGGTTTCAAAGCACCTGGGCATTTTTATCTATTGCGAGGCCAGGTAAGAATTATTATCAGCATTTGAGAGAAAAAAGTGTGAAGAGATAATGCTCCTGTTGGCCAGATCATGAGCTGGTTGAAATTTTTGAAAGAAGCAGAAAACCATTGTGGCTTGCATATCTGTCCTGCTCTTCCGAGCTGGATTACTAATGCTTCTGTAACCCTCAGAGTTTATGCTTTGTGTTCTGTCCAAGGTCTGTTAAAATACCAGCTTTGATCTTTAGAATCTTTTGTGGTTGGTGCTAGCCTCTTTAAGCCGACTGCTGGTGGTGCCTTAGAAAAGGCAACTAATATCAGCCAAATGCTTCCTGCTGATTTCCCCCTGTTTGGAGGCAAAGTCGTCTTTGGCAACAGATGGTACTTAGATTTAAATCTGAACACTGTTAGTTTATTACCTGTGTAACATCGTAAGCAAGTGACTTAACCCTTCTCAGTCTGCTTTCTCCTTGGTAAAATGAGTACCTTAGGCCCATCTCATCCAGGTAGGGCAGAAGTGATTAAAAGTCTCTATGGGCTCTGATATTAAAAAAAAAAAAAAAAGAGTACTGAGGTTTGGACCCTGGGTCTTCTGTGTCCTAATTATGCTACCTGGGACAGTTTAATTTCTTGGCCCTTGATTTTCTCACCTATAAAACAGAGTCAGCAACAGCAGCAAGCGTTATGGATTGAGCTGGTGAAGCCAACGTGTCTGCTTGGAGGTGGGCTTATCATAGTCACTCAGCCCTACACTAATGTGCAGAGTCCTTTGAGTATGTACATGAGATAATAGATGAACTATACTCGGTTCACATCTGAGATACCTTTTGTTCCACAGCAGAATGTAGTTGTGGTTGTCTCCCTTAATGTTTTCTCCCAATTTCCTCCTTTCCCTTATAACTCGTAAGAGCCATAGTTGACTAATCAGTTTTCCAACTCTGCCTGGCCCATACTTTGCAGGGTTCTCCACCTTTCCTCCCATGATTTTTCTGGGCCAAGTCCCATCTTCCTACCTCCAGTTCTAAACCACCCTTTTGTTGCCATCAGTTTTTCCAAACACCACTAGTTATAGCTCAGTTTCCTTTTTGCTGAGCTCTCCTAGTCCCTGCTTATTTAAGAAGTGCTTTCCATTTCTTTCAGCCCTAAATTCATTCTTTTTTTTTTTTGAGGCAGTGTCTTGCTTTGCAGTTCAGTTTTCAGTTAGGCCTTGAACTTATTTTGTAGCCCAGGCTGGTCTCAAACTCATGACAATCCTGCTGT